GCATCCCGAGGCATTCCTGTCTTGTAAGGAAGGAATGGAATTATTACAGAGCAAGCCTTATCAGGAATCCGTTCAATCGATTATTGTAGATGAAGCTCACTGTATTTTAGAATGGTAAGTTAGTAAATGTATAGTAAAAATGTTTTATAGAAATTATACAAAATTTTTAATAACGCATTGACGTCAACTTGTAAAAATATTAATTATTTGTCTTTAATATTGTTTTGCAGGGGACTTGACTTCAGGAAAGATTATTCAAATTTGGCAATGTTGTGTGCTACGTTCCCTACCGTTCCTGTTGTTGCCCTCACTGCTACAGCAAGCAAGGCAGATGTTATATTAATTAAGGAATCTTTAAATTTGAAAAAGCCAGTGGAAATCACAGCTAATCCTGACAGGCCAAATATATTTTATGAAAAGATCATCAGAAAGGGCAATGACCTTGAATTTTTTCAGGAACTTCTACACAACATTGCAACTGTTTTACTTAAAAAGAAATTGGATTACCCTTTGACCATTTTGTACCTGCCACTAAAATGGTGTGGCTATGCCTTCAAGTATCTTGCTAAACATTTGGGCAAGGAACAGTACTATCCTCTTGATGCTGAAGCAATACCCGAAAATAGGCTGTTTGCCCAATTTCATTCACCCCAGACAAATGCTATGAAGAATCAGATTCTCACTGAACTCTCTTCACCATTGTCAAAATTGAGAGTTGTATTTGCAACTGTTGCATTGGGAATGGGCATTGATATACCATGTATAAGACATGTTATTCATGTTGGGCCACCACATACAATTAGAGAATATTTTCAGGAGACCGGGCGAGCAGGTCGTGATAGGAAACAATCAACAGCTGTCTTATACTACAACAAGCGTGATATTGCAATAAGCCGGCCTGGAATTAGTGACAGTATTCGTGAATACTGCAAACTTGAGGACAGCTGCCTTAGGATGTTTTTGTTGGGCTGTCTTGACGTTCATGATGTCATGAAAGACAACCCTCATGTTTGTTGTAGTTATTGTAAAATGCAGTGTAAATGTTCAGAATGTACAACATAACAAATGCACCGTATAATTAGAAGTCACATCTAGCAAAACAATCAAGGGAACAATTACTAGGATGCTACTGTCTATATCAAAGTAAGCAAACAAACCATTTCTTTACCAGATGAAAAATATTAAATTTAATTTTGCCCTATTTATTAGGTCATTCCAGAAAACATCCATACTGTACCTCAGGCTCCATATCTCTATCCCCTTTAGATGTCCTAATACACTTACTATTATCAGAAACAATTTTCCCCCTCTCCCTCTGGACAGGAGAAATTTCCTCCTTGGTGGGAGCGTGAATATTTTCTAGAATGACCCATTGTGTGGTCTATACAAAACATTAAAATGCATATTACCAACTAAACTCAAATCCTTATCAATAACAATGCATATTTTCCACCTGTCTGCTAAATGGGAATAAAACTGGAAATTGGTTCTACTGTGGTCACATACTAGCATTTTGGGCCATTGATATGAACAATATATAACTGTAGCACTAGCCATGTTTCCACAATACAGACTTTGCCCATATCTGAACACCAATGGTCATTATAAGATTAAAAATATGTTTTTGTCATGTCAAATTGTTATCCTGAATATCCAGTATTTTTTCAGATATTCCAAAGTAGAATGTGCATGCTAACTCTGTTTGACTAACTTACTGCAATGATACTGTAGAAATGGGCAGATAGTCTGGCAAAACCTATGAATGCATACTGTAGTTTAGAATTTGTCTTTCTTTGTTCATCTGATATTAGGTAGATAATTTCTTTTGTAGTTTGGTGCTAAACAGAGTAAATATTGTAGTAAATATAATTCTAGCCAATTTAGGCATTAACCCTTTAAGTGGCAATGCACCCTCACATGCCCTACTTTAGTATTTTACTTTGTCTAACGTCAGACAATTTTACTCATCAAGGGGAGAGGGTTGCCACTCAATGGGTTAATCAGACTATCTGCCCATGCATGCTGTCAACCCTCGCATGCCCTACTTTAGTAGTTTACTAATACTCTGTCCAATGTTGATATTCTGTCCAATGTTGTCCAATGTTGGATAAGATCTGAAACACAGTTGGACAACGATTTTTCATCTCTTCTACAATGTCATGAAAATTAAGCGAACTCAAAGCAGGGTAATCTTTCTCTCTTAGGACTGATTTATTTTCCCTTCTCGCGACGTCCAACAATTCTTTTTCAATCAGTGAAAGCAAATTTTCCATTTGGATTTGACGTTCCGTTTCCACGTTTGACACATTGACAGTTTCCTAATGAAAATAGAAGTGAATGATTTTTTGTGTAAGTTTGTAATGCACGTTGGTTGTACTGTCAGACTGAAATAAAAATCCTAAAAGTAAAACTAAATTGACAATTTAGTATTTAATACACATATGAACCTGGCAATTGTCAGCTGGAGACGTGATTAATGTTCTACCCGTACTTTGTGACTCACTTGCGTTCTGAAAGAACGAATATTTTGGCAAAATCAGACAATTTAATAAATTACATTTGTTTACAACCGTATTAAACTTTATAGAGGTTGTAAATTATATTCTGGTATGTCATATCCTTTATTCATGGCACATAAAATATATCAAAAACAATTTAGAAAAAGATCAAACTGATTCTCGATACAAATATGCACAGAATTTTGAACAAAAAATCAAAATGTACATTGCTATACAGTGTGTATATAAAAAAACACATTCTTTCAAATTAGTCAAATTCAAATTAACGATAATTATACTGTATAGCTTGTCAGATGAATTCAATAGAATACGGCATTTAATATGCTTGATTTAAATTTCAATGGCTTAAGACTTTTTTTATACACACTGTATGTTTATAATATACTAAAACGACTAAAGTAACCGTATCTGCATTATAATAAATACGTTATAATAAACTTAAAATAAATTGCAACAATTAAAAAGAACAATATGTACATTTCGCATTGTTTGTACATGTCGACTGGCATTTTTGTGTTTGTTACGTGAATGCAATAAAACTTACCTCTTTCCCATGCGAAGATTGCATAAAACAGAGACGTTGTCTTGCTCTTTGGGATTGTTTTTGCGGAGGTTCTTGTGCCGATTTTAAACTTTTTGATACGCGTGACACGCCTGGCGAATCTTTGTTACACCGTTTGAACTTGGTCAAAGTTGAATGCGTTTGAACAATTGTATTCTTAAACGCGCTGAAACTACGAAGGCGTCTTTCACGTGGCCTGCAAATAAGTTGCGGCAGTCCTGCTTCTTTCGGAAGTGGATGGCCATAAATATGCTCAGCGATGGCAAAGATCTCGCTGTTAGTTTTGTTAAATAGTTTATATCGATGTGCGGGATCACCGACTGATTTTATACACAGCCGACAACAACTGCTGCTTTCCAAATTATGCGATCCGTATACTTTCGTTGGCGTATTTTTGGCCATAACAGGGTGACCACTATCCCAAAACTGTATCGTTGGCTTTTTTATGAACTATTGCACCTGGTTTCGATTATTGTTTAAGACCTCACACGATGAAATACAATACATCTGCAATATTTCTTTGCGGGATTACAATTTCAACCTAAACCACCCCTCCCTCAAGTAAAGTAATTGTCACTTCCCATATTTTGGGAAGCACGTGACCAGCCTGGACCAGGGTTTTTTCGCAGCGGGCGGTGAGCGGAGATAAAACCCTGGGTACGAGGTTGGGTCCAGAGTTCAAACCTCAATGTCAGAATAGTTGAAAGACCACAAAGCTCGCTTAAACAACTCCTCGTAGAATCGCGACCTTACGATAAAGTATGCACAGACACCTCTAAATGCCCAATCTGCAGCAACTCAAATGCTCCCGTTCGGTGTACACAGAAAGATGTCGTGTATCAAATCAACTGTGACCTTTGTGGAGCAACGTACGTAGGCGAGACAGGCAGACCATTGGTGGTTCGATACCAAGAACATTTTCGTTCCGCAGCAAACCCGAAAGCAAAGTCCTATAAAAACATGGCTTTCTCGAAACACTACCTCGACCAACATTACGGACAAAAACCTAAACTGTCTGTTAAGATTTTAAAAAGAACAAAAGGATCTGTAGAACGGAAAATTACCGAAGCATTATTCATCCAAAAGCTTAATCCAGACTTGAATGGAAAATACGAACAGTTAAATGTCTTAGATTTCGTAGTTTAAACATTAAAGACAGAATTAACAATTTCTAATTTTTATTAGAATTAATCGGACACGTGCACGTAATTTATATGCTTACGCAATTTCGCACGCGCGAATAACGGTCGCAATTTAACGTTTATGCATGCGCATGTAGTTTAAATTCAAATTGTAATCCTATTAACTACCTGAAGATGGAGTAAATCTCCGAAACGTCGTTTGTTAATGAAATAAACATTTAAAAAAAGTCTTACTGTGGTCTATATATTGAACACAAAATAAACAATACTATAGCTACATGGTTGTACTTGTTTTAACTGTTGGCGCGAAATGCCAGGCAAACTTCAAGAATCAATATTTTCGAAAAACAAATCGGATTTTTTTAGTGCTTTTCTCGTACTTAAAGTTACATATTTCCATATATTAGTCTAAGCGACTTAGCTAACGCTGCATGGATCGTCTTGTTTAGATTTATAATCATTGCCACTTATTATGAGGTTAGGTTTAACACGGAAGTGCATGACTGCGTGTTTGAAAGCACATGAAATATAAATAAATGTTATAAACGACAGAAAACGTACCTTGGAGTAACAGGAAAATCACAGTCAGTATTACAAAATTGAGACGCTTTGAAAACATCTTGTTAATTTGATTGAGGAAGCACTTCAATTCAAGTACGTGTTATAAAAGCCGAAGAAGAAATGAACTAACGAGGCGAAGCAAAATAACAGAAATATGAAACTCAGCGGGAAGACTGTGGTGCTTTTGAAATTGCAGGAATAACAATTGTCAAAATTCCTAAATCACGTAAACACGGCTATAGATTATGTATTATACATTTCAGGTATTATGATAACAGTTCAACAATTACTTGGTATTAGTAATCTTCTATTCAAGTCGAAAGAGTTCAGTTTGGTTATTTAACAAATTTATGCTGGCTTATTTGTTATTATCTATATTAAGCTTATTACTAGAAATTACTATCGCAAGGAAAGTGCTGCCTCACCCCCAAGGGATCAAAGGCAGCATGCGCAATTTGATGAATAAGAGGCTGTTTTGTTTATAGTGATCCCGCTTTGCCAGGACGAGATGTTTGGCGGGATGATTTCGATGTACTGAAATAATTCTGCAAAAAAACGTCATTATTTTCTGGAGATAGATAATAGTTAATTGTAAACGAATGGTTCAAGCAGCAAAAATAATCTTCTTGAACTACAAGACCTTCTCTACAGTTCTGTTAACCAGCATTCGAACAGCCCTAAAACGCCTGTGCAGCAAGTAGGAAAAGTGCAATTTGGATATCAAACACCTTGCAGGCTTGCTCAAATCATGGATAATAAAATAAATGGATTGGAAACTTCTGACGTCATTGACTGCATCCTTGTTGAAAAACGTGACGTCACGCGTATTGCGAATATTACCAAAGTTCTCGGCATATTTGTTGTTTTGCTATATTTT